TGGTCCCTCTGCTGACCATTAGACTGAACTTGTAACCGAGAAAGCTGAAACAGACATTACATTGCCAATGCTGGAAACCGGGTCCAGCGTCCCATATCGGTGCTGTTTCTTCAACCAGTCCTGTAGTGTATCCATCTGCTGCTGTCTCTCTACTAACCATTAGACTGGACTTGTATTGGAGGGGACAAAATAGACAGAGGTAACCAGGGATAAGCAGGGATAGACAACCAGACAAGGAACCGAAAGAGGCCAAGATCTGAAGAGAACAGAAGGGAGCAGAAGTAGGGGACCACAGAAGAAGAGGGCAAAAGAAGAGGGCAAAATAAAGTGGCCAGCAAGTAGACCGAAAACAGAGTCGGGCCGGTTCCACCGGACTGGATTACTGTGATCATGGGGGGAGGACCTCCTCCAGTGCCAGTGGGTGGGGGGGGAAGGGGTCTGCAAATTCTTGAGTCGGGCGTAACCTCTCGCCGGGATCGAGGTTTGTCCATTCATGGAAGATCAGCTGGTAATCTCTTGCTATCTCCGTCCGGTGTCCTTCTTGCAGCTCTCCTCCCTGCTGGCAATTTTCAGACCATCTTACCTCCGCCACCCATCCTTTTCTTTCCCCTCCCAACCMATCCTGACTGAATCGGGAGATGATCCTGTTGATGTCAGACCAGGAATTCATTTGGTCGAGTTTGTCTCTGGCCTCCTTCCACTGGGCAGCAATTTCATGTTGTACTAATAGGCGTAACTGTTTTGTGACTTCTCCTTCTTCAACCCCTGCCCCTTCCAATTCCAAAATGCAACACTTCCACCATATGACCCACAGGACCGCCCGCCTGCCCAAATGAAACATGTTCTCCTCGAATGTGTTTTCCCGAATCGGGGGGTAATGACCTAGTAATATAGCCCTCCACTCCCATGGCCATTGTGCACCGGGGACAATGTGTCGCCAGATCCTGTCCCAAACCGTCCAGAGCAAAACCGAAGCCGAGCATTGGAGGAAGATGTGTTCGATTGTTTCGGCCCTTTTCCTCCCCGGGTAACCCCTGAGACAGCTATGGCACCAGGGTAACGCCCGACCTTGCTGCTCCAGCCGAGTGTGATCTATCAACCAGTTGTTTGTTGGCAGGCATCGGTGCGCTATTTGCCACTGCAGGGCCGAGATCTTAGCGGGTCTGTTCCTAGGTTGAGTGAACCAACCGATCGGCTTGAGCAAGTCTCGGTCCACGTTAAGATGTCGATGTCACCTGTCCTCAACCGTCTCTCGCAGTCTTCGTTTGGGACGGAGCATACGATAGGCTGATTTGGTTCTTAGATTATAAAGTGTTAGTTGTTTTGTCGGCCCTTGTCTAGTCGTGGCTCCCTGGGACCAATGCCACTCCTCGGGGTCGAATGGGAGATCCTCAATCGGGGTTGTTGGGCGGTAGGCACATCGTCCTCTGCCCGTGTCCAGAACTCTGATGCGATATATGTTCGTTTTGTCCTTCCAGATAAAGGGGTTCTGGCTGCCCTGTAGAGTGCCATCCTTTTGGACGGAGAAGAGCTCAATTAGGGCCTGTGTTTGGTCTACAATGTGTATTTGTCCTATCTCCTCCTTGTGCCCGGGCAGGCAAACCCAGTCTCCTTCTCTCAATTGCGGCCCTTTTCGAAGGGTGCTATACCATTGTAGGGGGAAGCTTTCAATGAGTTCGTTTTGCGCCGATTCCGTGAGATGGCAGTAGCATAGCCATGCCCGCATCCTTTCTGGACTCTTCCAACATCTTGCCTCTATATCCCACAAATCCCCTACCCTGCGAGCACCATGTTTAACCCAACCTTTCCAAGGGGCATCTGAGCTGCATCTTACCTGGCCCAAGGCATCCGTAATCAGTCGATTCCCAAATAGCGGTTGTCTGAAGATTTCTTCCCATCGATCCGGATTGGGTCGGTCGGGCGGCGGGAGCTTCCTCCATGTGCGAAGTAGGCGCAGCCAATATGTGCTCGCGGGGTTACCATTCTTATCTTTCTTTGGAAGCCTCCAGTATCTGTCTTGTAGCCATACCAGGGGGTCAGTCTCCGGGGGGGGCTCTGGTGCCAGGGCAGCGATTTGCGCCAGAGCCAGGGGGGGCCAAGGGGAGGCCGGAGAGAAGATAATGTGTTGTAGCCAGCGAAGTGTAAGGGCATGGGATTGAGTGGCCGGGTCCACTATTCCTAGTCCTCCTCTGGTCTTGGGCTGGATCACTGAGTCCCAGGCTACTCGACTAATTGCGTGGGGAATATTACTGTCCCCTCTCCAAAGGAAAGCTGCTAGCTGTTGTTTTAGTGACCTAAGCCCCCCATCGCTCATGGGCCATATGATCGATTTGTACCAAAGTGTGGCCAAAACCACGTTATTAATGACCAGGGCCCGCCCAAATAACGATGTGTGTTTTTTATTCCATTGTTTTAATTTGGCGTTTGCTGGTCCTGTCAGCCAGTCATCGTTGGTCACCGGCTTCCCTTTTGCTGTAATGAGGGTTCCCAAAACTCTCAGCGGGTCTTCCAGGGGGAGCCATGTGATGCGCGGGTTTTCAGGAGGCCTTCCTCCTTGCTGGTGCATTCACCATCCTACCGTCTTTTGCCCCAATTTATCGCCATATCGGAGAGCCGACAGAACCGGTTCATGAGAGTTTGGATTTCTTCCATGTTACGATCCGTTGCTTCCAACATTATGGTGAGGTCATCAGCAAAAAGTGAGCAGATCGGTACTGCCTCCTCCGGGATGTTCGTGATCTTAATGCGAGAGAGGTTCTTGTTGTGCCTGAGGTTGGCCGAGAGTGCCTCCATTATTACCAAGAAAAGATAGGGTGCAATGGGATCCCCTTGTCTTACAGACCTTTGAAGCTCGAAGGGGGCGTTAACGACCCATTGACCTGCACACAAGTAGTGGCGTTATGATGAAGGATCCTAACCCAACGTCGAAAGACTGGTCCAAAGTTCATTATTTCCAAGCATTTGTCCAGAAATTCCCAGTCCACGTGGTCATATGCTTTTTTGAAGTCAATGAATATAAGGGCCGCGTTTACGTTATTCCGTTGGGCTAGTTGGACCACCTCATTAACTAGTAAGATATTTTCTTGTATATTCCTTCCGGTCATAAACCCTGTCTGAGCTGGGTGTATGACCTCTTCCAGGACAGATGTCATACGATGTGCCAGCGCTTTGGCAACCATCTTATAAACTACTGTGAGTAGAGTGATGGGTCTATAGTTCCGAATGTTCATTTTGTCGCCTTTT